ATTCTCTCCTAATTCTCACGGAACCATTCCACAGGAGAGCACTAGTGGAAATCTACGGTTGAATAAGTGAAAAGATAAAGTTTCATTAGCTGAAGGGAAGTGATGTAATCATCTTAGCAGAATAATGTTAAGGTAATTAGCAGTGTTTCCGAACAGAGAAATTCAGGTTATCAGATGGTTCAGATGATTTATATTCGACAGTTAATTTGCGAGGTATGATGTGCTTATTGAAATGAATTACTATATTAAATTCCGGTTTCATGACAGGTATATAGTGAGAAGTGAGTTGAAGTATCATTGAATGAATCATTTTTGTTTATGTCCTCTAATTGAATTATTAAATTATTTCCAACCAGTTCTTCTCTCCTTTCTAACCATAATTCTTATCGATTTTCTCCTAGACATTAATTAGGTTTTTGCTTACTATGTGATTCTTTTTTATCTTTTCATATCTCCTGTCATAAATTAATGAATGAATAAACTTTCATTTCAAATCTTGTGCGTCTGTGTGTTTCGTGAGGGAAAGTTTTCCTTCCTTTTCCATCTTTGCTTGGTACTGAACTTGTTTAGTACTTATCTTGACTTAGTAAATATTGAATCTACTGAATTTTAGTTATTTGTGAATCAATATGTGACATAATGCTAATAAAACCGACTGAGTTTTAATGTAAAAATAACAATGTTATTTTAGCTTAAGAACAAATAAAATCCGCAAGTAAATTACTGTGGTAGGTATTTTGTCTTCAGTTTGCAGCTTGTTACTTTCTGTCAGTGCTTTTTCTCCTTAAAGTTACACTGTGAATTCATCATTGCTTTAGGATAGTTTCGTTTCTTTTGTTTTCGTGTACTTTTTTCTACTCAGCCGCTACATTACTACTGACTGATTGGCATGAGTAGCTGGACACTACTCACATCAACCAGTAGCGCATGCTAGCCACCTCTAAATAATCTAAACAACGACCATCTGTTTTCCCTTGTTCGGTGCATGGTTTATCAACCAGGTATTTTTTATTTTTGATTACAGCTTGATTTCACACTATATTTTTGGTACAATTATGGAATTTTCAGCATAGATATCAGGTGTGCGTCGGAAGGGGATCGAACCTCGGACTATGTGCATAGTCGGCGAGAGTCCTAACCACTGTGCCACCGACGCACCTATTGGGCTTCAGCTTAGAGGGCCATTTCAGCTCAAATCACCGGAATTACGGCTAACTACTTGCGTAAACTGGTCATACGTTAAATCAAACTCGCTATTTACACGGTGCTAGGCGAAATTTCACAACATTTTCTTTAGGGAACCGAAATTATACAGGTCACAATTTGTGGTCTGCTTGATATCATAAATGGCAATCAAGAAGGTAAGCAAAGATGCATGACGCTGCATAGTACTGATTGGCTAAGAGTGGTTGTATACCACTCAGATTAACCATTTCTGCTTCCTAGCCACAGGACGGTTGGTTAACTTGTTTGAGACCGAGCCCATCAGTGATAAACCTGGTATGACCCATCTCGAAGATTGTGATTTGAATAGTTTTGATTCCCGAAGGAGAGTAAGGTGAAATTTCACCTTGAACTGCATAAATTGCAATTTAAGAACTTGGCTTTTCAATTCTGAGACTAAGGACGACTGTTTCGTCCCATTTCGGGACTGTCTGACGGCACGCCGGGGTTTAAAACCCAGGGCCTTCTGGTTAAAAGGCGAGCTTGCAGACCATTAAGCCACTGGGACCCGATCCACTAACCAGCTTATGAATTCTAAATTCTGCCAATTCACAACATAGAGCGACCACTTCACAATTTCAACCTGATTTACTCTACTGGTCAGAGCCTTCCACTAGAACAATAGGTAACTGCCTGAATAGGGCAAGTCGCTAGTCAGCATCGGCCCCAACCAATCAACCAAAAATCCCTACAAAACAAATACCTAAAAATCAAGAAATATAAGTACAGATAGTAATAATATTTTTAATAGTGTGAGATGTAGTTTCTTTACATGTAATTATAAAAACATAAGTATATCTAATTTAGGAGAAGTCGATGGGAAAATTACTAAATGACCCCTTAAACTACTTATATTTAGAACTGATTGTATGTTGCCAAAAGAGATTTAACAAACTAGTTTTGGTGTGATCAGAATGTTGTCGCTAGAGGTCAACTACTCTAAATAGATATTTCATGTACCGGGATATTAGCCATACCTAATGTGTGAGGCATGATAGTGATGATGAGAGACTATGGTCAAACCTGGACCCGATTGAAGAGGGCAGCCACAAATAGAATCAATTGGAGATATATTCTTGAAACCTTATGTTCCACTCAGAATCGAAGGGAATAATAATGATAACATTAAGTTACTAAGGCTGAAGGAAGGGGTGTAAGATTCAACCCTAGGATCAACTTAGTGAGCCAGAGACAATGAGTCACATATCAGCATAAATATATGACTCGTTCAGAATTCAATATTTTGCTTTACATTTGGTGTTGGAGAAATATCCAGCTACAAACCAATGATATATAGGAATCGAGACTATACATTAAAAAAATCAATTTCTAAATAGAAAGAGACGATACTAGCTCTAAATGAAGTATAAAAACGAGCATTATCGTACAGATCCATATAATAATATCTACTTATTTCTCTTTACAGAGCTAAAATTGGTTGAGGTTGAAATCTGAGATAGGATTTACCACCTCTGAAAGATTGTCGTTACCTATGAGTGTAATACAAAATAGTCCAGCGAGCCTGTAAATTCACCGCCAGCAAAACAACGATATCGAATGTTATGAATTTATATGGAGCAACGTAGTTAGACGTTTCATGCATTACAACTATCTCTCTTATATTTCGAATATCTTTTTTATTTGTGCGATCACATATTTCTATAAATCTGTGATATACTACATGTAGTTGTTCATACTATTTCTCATTTGTTTACGGAGACATTTATTCTGAAAGATTGAAAAGAAAAGGCCTTCTTGTGAACCAAGCAGGCATTGATTCAATGGCTTGAATGGTATACGTATGTGAATCACTAAGTGAATAACAGGTTAAAGATACCAAAAGCACGCTTTGAACTTATAAGGAAATATCGCGGTCTACATTTTTCTACAGTTTTTATGAAATTACTACAATCATTTGTTCAAAGCCTGATTTGTGGCTTCTGAAGCGACGACAAGAAATCTTAATAAAGTAATCATTTACAACGTAACCTATAAGCTCTTTACCTTGTGTCAAACATTCCTTTTTTACTTCAGTTGAACATCATTTTCTGCATCTTACAAATCAACTGATTTCTATCGAATAACCTGAAGTGTGTTGCAAGTCTTACTGTTACTTGATCTGATAAATATTTTCAATTGTATAAAAACTGAAGAGAACGAAAGAAATAACAAAATAGATTAATTGATACTGCTCCAGTTTACTTTTCAAGCCTTCGCTATTTATTTCAACTTAGCGAATTTCACTTTAGAGTTACGCTGCCTTATCTACCTGAAAAAAAAATCAATGTGTACCTAACTTTATTCACACGATAGAAAATCACATACAGTACTTTTCACGGATAAACTGTGTACACATAATTCCTTTGATTGTACATTTTGACGGGAAACTCCTCCACACTCTTGCTAGTGAATTTATAGAAGACAATGATATTCAATGGAAGCCTGAACAGTGAACGGCAACTTAGGTTCTTCCGACACACTTTTACGATGAAATCTAGGGAAAGAAGCCACGTTATCACTTGTTTGTCTACAAAATGTTGGTTTCATCGGTTAGTGTACTTTTTTTTTTACTTATGTATGTTGATGTAAGTTTTCTAATGATTTAAGTGGATTTAGCGATCGAACATCGTAGAATTGACGAGTACAATGATGCAGTAAGTTAACTCTAACATATGTCATTGTGTAAGAAAAGTCAATTTTGCGTTAACTGTCAAATAACAGAATGCAAAGTAGAAAGTTTTTCAGATCAATTTGTCAAGTAGTTTACAGCCTCCAAAGCCTCAGGATGGTCGGGGGTGGGTGCCTTGCGCTGCGGGTTGGCCACCCCTCCGCACACCTCTTGAAATGCTCCCATATGACCGGGCGTCTTACATAGCCTCTCCTGAGGAAGTTCTACTCACTGCCTTCACGTGGCGGAGGTGTTTCTCACCAAAGTGAGAGGGCGAAAGCGGATGCCCGGCGCTCTCCATCGGGTTGACTGTCCATTGGATGACAGTCTAGGGGAGATGGCTAAACCCTGATTCCAAACCTCCAACGATTGGCGTATGAAGCTCACTGGAGCTCACCGGCAGACGTATGGACAAAGGGCTTGTTGGTTTTCCTGGATGTCTGGCCCCATTCAAAAAGGCGTATGAACCGAACTCCGGTCATCGGCTGCCAATGGATAGTGGACTCCTTACTCCACTCCTACTGCCTTGTAGGTCACACTTGGTTGTGTAAAGGCTAGAGCTGCACTCTCAAACAAAAGGCCGAGCGATGCTGGGGACATCACTCGTACCAAATTCCCATGAAACTTCATGAACTCTCTTACAAATTGCCGCGCCTGGGCAGCGATGATTCGAGACGTTCATGAAGCCGGCTCATCCTCCCGTAGGAGATAGCCGAAGTAAAGTAAGTAAGTTACAGCTTATGCATTCGTTTTAACACTATTTTTTATGTTAGGGAAAAATTGTTTAAATGTGACTTGCTTTTACAATGGTTTACATATCTCTCTAACATCGAATCATATAAACAGAAGCCGACTAAAGTAGCCTATGGATTAGTTCTCATGCCGATGGGGAATCAAATCCGGATATTTTATCACTGAATCACCTATACCCCAGGTTCCTTATTGCTACTGCCTAATGTAGAAAATGAATTGTAAAAATTCTTGTGTTGTGTTTACCGATATATATATATATGAGCTTAAAGAACACCTTAATGTTACAAATTATAACATACGATTGGTTCTACTCACAAGCAGTGCTTCAATTCACTGTGTATTACATTCATTGTAGATTTATTTGGAAAAGAAGAGGATTCCTTGCATGGTTACTTGGTCGAAGTGTTGCAGTTATCCAGTGGACAGTTAGTTCTATCGATGGTCAGTGTATTCCAGGTATCTATAGAATACGATATTTTGGTACATACAGAAGTATTTTTGGAACTAAAACAGACTTTTCTGGTGTTACAAATAAATTTACAATACTATGCAAATAAAGTAGCAGAAAATAAATAATCTATAAAAACTCGAAGTATGGAACAGCATTGAAGACGGACGGAGAGAAATAATTTTTGGATGTAGTGGAATAATGTTCGTTTGCCTACCTGATATTTAATTCATCTGCTCTTTTAGTCTTTCATCATATTTAACATCATTTTGTTATAACTGTACACCAGTTTCCTACTCATCGCAACACTGCATAGAAATGATAAATAGGATTACTCTAAAAACTTTTTATTTCAAATTTTACGGATTCTGTAATTTTTCATCGCTTTACAGGTTTTATTACCTATTGTACTGATCTCCATATTTGAATGTATACCAGGTAATTAGATCCTATTTCAGTAGTTATGATATCGGTGAATATTTTATTCAGATTTGTCAGTAGTCTTTCTTTTGTTTTCTCTTTAATATTCATGCGTAATGGAAATTTAATTTTGTCGTACATTCATTCATTTGAACTTTATGGGACCTATTTTTGGTTTTAGATCTACTTAAAAAAAAGAAGTCTGATGACTACAGTACTAATAAAAAAAATGCATTGGGTTCAAAGTTGAAAGTCTATTGTTTGTTGGATATATCTTGATTAATAAATTATTATCTTTTTTGATGCTTTGTACTGACCAGTAATACTATAGATCAGTGGAAAACAAAGATTTAGTACTTTTTCCTTGTACACAAGGTAGAGGTCCAAAGTACTCAGTGCGGCAAATGACAATGAGAAATAAAACAGCAGGATGGATGGAAGCAAACTGAAAATTGTAGTTTGTATACACAGTTCGTAGTTTACCATCTATGTAGTGTGAAGGTGTCTGAATTATACTGATTTTCGTCGCTTTCCACACGATTTATAGACAGTTGTGAATAATCCTTCTGCTGAGATGACTGGCTGGTTTCAAAATAGAACTTTGTACCGATGTGCAGCAGTTAAAGTCGCCACACTCCACTTAGTACATAAAGCAAGAGATGAAACTAAAAGAAAGTGCAAAATAGCGCCAGAAAACAGAGATATGATGCAAAAAGAATAGTGATATGAAAGAACAATAGAGTTTTATTGGATACTACAAATCACAGAGAGTGAACGCATCCGCACCATTGACAACGATTTTGAGCCATATCACCGATTGTCTCTAGCCATTGGTTTCTACCGTCCCGAGGACCCGAAACCAGGAAGTCTACACCTTCCTACGTGGCTTAGACTAACTGTTGTGGGTTTCATTGACTAGTGCCATCTATTGGTTTGACCGACGCTAGATCTTTTCCAGCCTTGACCCTATGTCAGCTAACATTGCCCGTCGAGAGTGCGATGACTAGGCACACGTAACACATATCCTAACCATCTCAGTCGATGTAGCTAGCTTTACAGTCTCGTCGATTGATATCCCCCTCCTTACCTAGCACTCGAACGATGCCTCACCTCAATATTGCTCACCCTATCATACGACTTCACACGGGAGATAGAACGCAGGCACCTATGATCAAAGGCAGCTAGACAAGCTTTTCATGTCTTCCACCTTCTCTGACTATTTCTCACAGCCATAAAGGAGGACGGAGCGGACTGATGAGTAGTACACATGCCCTTTGGTCAATAGCCGGATATCGCGTCTACACCAGGAATGGCGTAAGTTGTCACATGCGAAACGAGCCTTCTGTATCCGTGCTGAGATTTCGTCAGGGATCAACCTGTTAGAGCTGATGCAACTTCCCAAATAAGTGAAGTGGTGGTCAACACGCTCTACCACTTTACTCCCTAGCTTTAAGCTAGGAGTCAGTGTAGTCCATTCCTGTCGCATCACCTTACATTTGATAGTAGGAGCGAATCACACATGCCAAACATTCGTAGATTCCAGCTCAAGGTGTTCAGAAGACCCTGTATTTTGTCAGCGTCTGTCTTCACCTGGAAGGACTATATCATCTGCATATTCTAAGTCAACGAGATTATTTCCTGGTAACAAGTCAATCCTTGAGTTTCTGAAGTCAGTTAGGGTTAACTCCACTAGTATACGTATGATGAAACTGAATAGAAATGGAGACAGTGGGAATCCCTGACCAACACCACTGGTTGTCACCACTTCAAGGAACAACTCGCCACAAAGTCTCACCTGGCTGACTGCATGAGTTCGAGTAGAGTTCCTTGATCAGTGCAATGTATTTCATCGAGATTCCCTTAACAGCCAAGCATCGCCATAGTACCTCTCGGTCGACGGAATCGAATGCCGCCTTCAGGTCAATAAAAATATAACGATTGTTGGACGCCGGTAAGTATGCCTATGTTCCAGAATCTGTCGAAGTGTGAAGATATGATCAATGCACCCTCTTCCTGGTCTAAAGGCTGCCTGGGTCTCTTGTGTTTGTTCCTCTTGTGGGCCGCTTGTTTTACTCATTGTTATTGAGCCTAGAACTCCAGATATCATATCAGTCAAGCTAATCCCTCTGTGATTATCACAGGAAGACTTGTCTCCCTTCTTGTATGTGGGGATAATCGGTGACCTACACCAAGTAGACGGGACTTCCTCTGATCCCCAGACGCTGCCTAATACCTTAGTTAGCGCAAACAGTGGACTTACACCACAGTCCTTAAACACCTTTGGAGTCATTGCATCAGGTTCCGCTGCTTTGTCTCGTTTTAGACAAATGACAACTTATGTGACCTGAGTTAGTGACGGAGGACGTGTGTCTATATCCCATTCAGGGAGGTGTTGCATTCTCAGTAAGTTGAGCTTGGCTGTAGGCCCATTAAACTGCTCCTCAAACTGTTCTGTCCAACGTTGTAGTCGTCTATCCTGGGAGCTAATTATAGTGCCATCTTCCTAAGAGATTGTTTCACTTATCGCTTCCCTTTCACCACCTGTTTCCCTGATAAGTCTAAATATTTGTCTCGTGATACCATTCATCGATGACTTCTTCATCTTCATCGCCCACCACTGTTCACGGATGTTGCGAAGACTTTCTGTTAGTTTTCATTTGAGCAGCTTTCGCTCCTCATCATATTAGGAGCTCACCGGAATCATTCTTCCTTTGTCAATCAGTTCCGATGAGGTACTAGAAATCCACTGGTTCTTACTAAGTTTTGCTTTAAGGTTATTAACTGCCTTTACAGCTGTGTCTACCTACAGCTAACTGTATATTGTGTCAGGTTAAATCATGAGAAGTCCTGCTGTCGACCTCAGACACTCGTTTCGCTATTTATTCGTTAAATAGGGACTGAGAGTCTCGATCTAGTTGGGGACGTAACTGTTTCGCTACCGTCAATTTCTTATGTCCGCTTAGTCGTAAGCATAAATGTGCGCGAACCAGAGCGTGATCAGAGTCTACGCACGTGTTCCAGAAGGAGCCAACGATACCCTGTCACTATTTAGTCTATCTGTGTCCAGCGTTGACTTGGTGATAGAGGTCGGTCGCCAGGTTACACAGTATCTCTCTTCGTGCCTAAACTTAGCGCTGATCCGGAACAGATGGTCTGGACAGAATTGTGGAAGACGATCACTGTTGTCGGTTCGTCGGCCGGGAACTCCATACCTACCACCAACATACTTCTCAGCCTGGCACAACTTCCATACTTGGGCGTTGAAGTCGCCTGCTATAACAACTATATCTGAACGTTTTGCTTTTTGTAGCAAATTAGACAGTCATGTAGAAGTCATCCTTTAGTTCATCCGAAGTGCAGTCGGTTGGGGCGTAAGCGGAGACTACGAAAAGGCAACGACGGGTAGCGCCGTCTTTCCTTCTTTTAATGGACCCATTTAGACGGACTGCACATACACGACTATCTACTGGGATCCGGTCAATAAGTGATTTTTGTGCCCTAACACTCAGTGCTATCCCTACACCTGTGAGTCCTCGCGAGCTAGCTGGGGGGTCTCCTGACAGCCTTAAGGTGAATTTTTCAGATTCGCCTTCTTGACCGGGTGAGGTTAAATGAATGGCCACACTCGGGTCTTGCATGTGTGTCTCCGAAACACAACATGCATGCATGGCTCGAGATGCCAGAGTTCCGACCAGTGATGCCTGTTGTCCGATTACTTGGAGGGTCCTGACCTTAATTAAATATTCCTATATGAAGTTGGAGACGAGGCTACCGGGGGTGTTTCTATTGCTCTCACCGTTGTTTGTGGTCACAGAGTGAAGTGAAGATGACTCACTAGCCTGCAGAATAGTACTAACTGTAGTAGAGAAGCAAGATGAGGAAGGTGATGTGAGTAAAGGAGAATGATGCTCAGGAAGGCTTCGTGTGCTTTTGGAAGCGTGTAGACAGTTGTTACTTCCCGACTGCCCACACCGTGGAAGTTGGTTGATTCTTCGGGTACCTGAAACAGGAAGAGGGTTAGTGTTGCGTGACCGAAGAGTCCAGGGTACAAGTGGTTGAGGCCGGTCACACATGGCCTGTATGAGCTTGTTTCTCCTATTGGTTCCGTATCAGTAAATTTACCGCCGTTTATGTACCACCGTCTCTCCGGAGTGGAGAGTCTGCATAGTGACATGCTGGTCATCCTTGTTCCCCAGCATAGTTTAAAAAATATTCTTACAGAATTCCGGTAACTGCTTCTAGTGTAGTCGCTATCCTAACAACGTTCCAGGTATGGTAGGACCTGCAGGAATATTAGTTCCAGCCAGTGTAGCTTTTTGGGTCACTTCGATATGCAAGTGTGTTATTGTTTGGAAAGTGATCTGAGAACAATTTACCTATTCCTCATAGTCACATCAGTTCATTAATGTGACAGGCTTGTGGGGATTATATGCATGTGATATGGATTGTATTGGTCGAGTACGGAAGTTTATTAGTCAGGATTCTTAGAAAGTAATGAAATCTCTAGACATTATCACTCTCACGTTTGATGTGAAGAACAGTTCATTGAAGAGCTAAAAATCCTCTACATGGTGTCTAATGCGAAACCACCCTTGAAGTCCAATTTTGTGTATAGACTTTTCCGTGGCGTATGTCATTGGATATTTGTCGTCAACCAAGATGAATCTAAGTAGAAAGAGCTCTACTTTT